TAGGATTTATTCAGCAAAATTTTGAGGTGACGTCATCAATTTTTTAGAGGGGATGAGCAAATACATTTTGGCTATAAATTTATCATGCCTATGACAACTTTAAAGCATCTCTAAGATTTCAAAGCATTCGGTTTTGTAGTTCCTGATTAAATCAATAAAATAAATTCACGCATTCATTAATTTTTTTGAGTCATCCTGTATATGCAAATCCAAAAATATGAATGAAATGATAAATAACAAGTACAGACTCATTATATTTTGTACATTTTAGATAGGATTTATTCAGCAAAATTTTGTGGTGACGTCATACATTTTTTAGGGGCGATGAGCAAATACATTTTGATCAAAAACTTACCATGCTTATGATAACTTTAAAATATCTTCAAGATTTCAAAGCATTGGGTTTTGTAGTTCCTGAGTAAATCAATAAAATAAATTTACGCATTCATTAATTTTTTTGAGTCACTCTGTATATGCAAATCCAAAAAATATGAATGGAGTGATAAATCATAAGCACAGACTCATCATATTTGGTACAGTTTAGACAGGATTTATTCGGCAAACTTTCGAGCTGACGTCATCAATTTTTTGGAGGGGATAAGCAAATATATTTTGACTAAACATTTATTATGCTCTTTATAGCTTTAAAACATCTGCAACATTTCAAAACATTCTTGTTAGCAGATTCAAAATTAAATTGCAAAATGTTGTTTCCTAATTTTGATTTTTTTTCCAAAAATCTGGACGTTTCGGGTAAAATCTCAATTCGGAGTCATAAACTACATGTGTAAGACTATGTTATTTAATACAATTTAAAAACCCAATTACTATGTACAATTTTGAAGTGATGTCATCACATTAGTAGTGGGGATGATTAGACAAATTTTGGTTAGCGTTTTACCATCTACATGATATACCTAATATAAATACAAAATTTGACAACAATCGGCCCAGTACTTTCGGAGATTATCTGTCTAATAAAAATCCGAGACGGCAGACAGACGGACAGACAGACAGAAACGGGAGACCTATTTCTTTGTCTTCTAGGGGTCATGAAAGATCGAGAAAATGTAAAAGCAGAGAGTCGGCCGACGGACTCGATTACAATACTTCCTTTGCTTACGCTCGGGAAGTAAAAAATCGCAGTATCGAATTTCATCTAAGAAAGTAGACAGGTTTGATAATACTTCAGGCGCGAAGAAAGTTTTCTCCAAATAACCTGATATAGTGTATTTCAGAACTCCGTTCGTCTATTGGTACGATCGTGCCTCACAGTTGTGTACATTTTTACAAGAAAATAATATATTTTCCACTTTTCATTTATCTTATCCAAGAAATCCGAAAAGATATAAATAGTGTAGATTACTATACATGCAGCAAAAATTCAGAGGGTAATTCTTTGGTTATTGTAATATACAGGGTGATAAAAGTAAAATAAAACTACTCGACTCCCAGACTTAAATTCCTTGAATTTTTAGTTATGGGGCCATTTGAAAACACTAATGTACACTGCTCCAGTGGCAAATGAAGAATACTTGAGAAATCGGACATCTTGTAACGGATTTTTATTTAATTTTGAATTGATTTGCATTCGAAGTGGTGGCGCATCTATCACGCGTAGTGTTGGTGTGAGCTACGGGAAAAAACTGGGAGAAAAAGAGAGATAAGAAGAGAGGAGATAGCGGGGGGGGGGGGGGGGGGGAGCGAGTGAGGAGCTCGGGAGGAAGACAATCAAGTTCAGGGGCTTTTCAAGGAAGATTTTCGGGAAGAGACGGGATCTGAGAACCGAAGGAAGAGTCAGGAGCCTCCGCCGCCTACGCTGAGGAGAGAAGAGGTGCCCTTCCGCATATTTTAACAGTGATTGGCTTATCGTATGTAATATCTTTAATAATATCATTTGTCGTAAGCGTAGTTTTATTGGGCTCGGGTTGAAACCCACTTCGTGAGGTAACAATAAAGTAGCATTTATTTGAAATCCGGTAAGTAGGTTACAATCTTCAAGGTGTAATGATCCTAGTATTTTTGAAAAAAATCGGTAATCAATGACGAGAAAATTGAATGCTCATAGTAGTCGTTTTCAGCAGTCTGAAAATCTTAAAACAACCCAAGGAATAACCTCCTGAATTTTTGTCGCATATTTAGTAAACACCCTGTATAGTGTTAAAAGCTTTAGAAAATCTTAAAATAGTCTTTGAGATTTTGATGTACGACATATTTCATTATGGTAACATATTCTTCGTTAATAATATTGTTTTTAACGAATATCTTGCATAAAAAGTAGTAAACCTAAACTGTACTTGTCGTATAACAAAAACAACTGGAAAACGCATTTCACTAAAAGTTAAAATGTTCATTTAACATTATAAATTCAGCAGAAAAGAGTAAGTTCCACCTATTATCAACTTCTCAGTATCTGTACTGCCAGCAGATGTTTAGAAAAATAACCAGATTTTTTGTTATTAAATATATGTTTTATAATACAACTGTTCTTAAGACGTTGTTATTACTATCTCAATTATTTTGTAACCAAACAATATTGCGTATATTTTATCCACATTTTAAAATACACCCACCGCCTCATTCATCTTGGCACCGCAAAAACTATCTTTATTAACTAAAACAGTTTCGGTATCATCAGGAATTCGGTTCCATTTAATATATTACTGAAAAAAATATGAAATATTAGCAACGAAATTAATCCCACTTGAATACTGTAGTGTTACCATATGGACTTTCGAAGTAAATTGCGACCATAGCGGATATTTAAAATGTGAATAGACTGCCTTATTAATATGTACGTTCATTTAAATCACAAAGACTATTGATTTTTTGAGTCTTTTCTTTTATATTGAATTTTGCTTCGCCAAGGATAACCACATACGAAAAAAAATCTTTCCACCTTCATTACACGTTTCGTTTTGGTATAGTTCATCCAGCAACTGGCAAGTGTGTTTAATTGTTGCATCGACCAAATCGTGTTTTCCTTTTTAATAAAGTGTACCTAACCCAGCTCAATCTGCTTATCTCATTCATATCATATGTCAAACACTGGTAAATATTACTGTTACTAAAGCGGATTTTCTTATCAGTCAGTAATTCCTGATCATTAATGATTGCAATCTTTTATCGGTTGCCTTGGTGCACGAACTTTTGTTCACTCTGTTTCCTTCTCCACCGTTCCTAACGTTCGGAAGACATATTATCCTCAAACCACTCGAGCCATAAATTTCTTACCTTCACACGCCTATGAATCATTGGACAAAATGAAAATAGGTGAGCAACTCCATGTGGTGCATTGTAGATAAATTCACCTCCACTTTTCGAACAAGCAAAACTGGAATTACATGTTCTTTATAAAAAATTCTCTGCATTCCACTAACGCATCTTGTTGCACCCCATTCGACATTTTCTGCGAGAGTTTCAAATATATCAGCCAACCGTAATGCCTTTGGATAAATTATGAACGTGCATTTGCGATTAATTTACAGGCAGTGGTTAGTAATTTTATGGCTTTAAGCGCGTTTCTGCTTGTAATTATTGCGCCGCCTTAAAAGGAACAAAACGGCTTGATGCTAGGTCCAATTTTGTCAATGAAGCTGTCATGCAACAGATTATTATGGGTAAATGATACGTGGAAAACTTTATGGAGCAATCAAGACGAAAATCAGACTGAATGATTAGTTAATCAGCGATAATAATAAACAATGATCTGCTAATTACATATAAAGTTTGGAATTCGTATCACTGGCAACCTTCATGAAGCAACGCTCCCGGTTTATATTTATAGTAGTGGTTTATATTTAAAGAAAGTGTAACATTTCGTGAACTGAACCAGTAATAAAATGACTCAACGCTGCATAATTTAATAATTTTTACGAGTCGAATCTGCTCCTTTGTTATTCATCTACCTCTGGGATTTCAAAACTCTTATAGAAGTTGTTTTCTAAGTAAATTGACATCATCAGCAGGAAGGCAACGGTCCATTCAAAATTACGAACATTCCATTCTTGTCAAGGAGGATCTCAAGGACCTCTTTTCGCTGCAACTTTCGAATATTCCTACTCTGTTAATTGATGTATTGCAAGTGTACAACTTCAAATATATTTACATATTCATAGTTTTGAAGACAGCACTTAAATTACTTTTATTGAGTAATTTATTCCCATATGTCCGTTCATTGAAGCAAATTAACGGTATTCATGCTTGTATGGGTCTATGCTTTAATCAAATAACCAGCTGTTGTATGCGGGCAACAGATATCTAGGTCCACAATTTTCATTTTTTCTCAAGGACCATTAAAGCTTCGGAATAGTGCATCTATTGTCACGGCAATTGTTTTTCTTCACTTTCTTTTTCTTTGGATCTGCCTAATTATTTCTCAATGGGAGACCTACAAAATTCGGTATGGGAAACTCGACTACAATCAATTTAATATTTTTTGTGGTGCTGAAACCGTAATAAAGGTACTATGGGAGGCAAATTTAGTGAATCAGACCACGAAATTCCGGTAATAATATTGGTTAATAAACATAAAAGTACACCATTAGAAATCGGAACACCCAACTGCGCTTACATCCGCATTTTTTTATTAATAAAACGAAAACCCAATCTTGGAATATTAATACCCGCAATTAATATTTAAAACTCTTATCTAAATAATGGTCATAACCATAATACAATTACGGTGTCTTTCAAGTAAAATAAAAGTAAAAGGTTGTTTTATTTACACACTAGTACAATTCGCATCCATATGGGTTATGCATGAATTGGACAGTTTTACATTTCGAGATGTAGTCACATCTACCTAAATATTACAAAACACAATTTGCTAGACTTTAAGTTACCCGGACTTGAGTAGAATTCACACAAATATAAACAAAATTATTACTCTGTTATCTTTACAACTTTATACATACGCACACAAATTTAGTGGTCATTAACTGCTCGATTTTAGCATAATTTGTTAAGTCTGCTTAAAAACTACATAAAACCTGACATACCGAGTACAAGAAGGGGGCTCCAGAGTTGTAGTACCCCCTGCTCATCTTGACCTTATCTTGCCAGACGTTGTGTTGCTCCTTTGTGAACCATTTCGCGGGTTTCCCATGGAACAGTTTATTTCCAAAAACAGCACTTCATTTTATGAACAATGAACCTTACTTTTAAGTTAATTAAGCAATGATAAGTTAACAAGGTCAGGTAATTTTTCACTGCGGGATTACTGAAGTGAGGTGTTTTCCGGAGGCTTTGCGTAAAGAACTGTGACGTAGGTTAATTTGATACTTGATTAACGTATTACGCGAACGATAAATAATTGGCAAATATACAAATAACATACTAACAGCACTATAACCCTCCGTGACTCACTCGTCAACTGGCGATTTCCCGATTGTTTGGTTACCTGTCAAATGTAGACGGCGCCATCTGCCGAAGTCTACGTGTAGTAGCAATCGCGCGCTAATTTAAATTTGAACAGATTACGTTGTGCATCAACATTTATCATACTAATAAATAAAAATTGAAACAAAATTGCTTCAGTATTGTGAAAATAAAAACTTTCATGGAAAATTTTATTAACTGGTAGTTCCACGTTAAGTAAGAATTAATCTCATGTCTCTTTTCTCTTTTCTGATCATAGCACAAGCAACAAATGTTTAGCTTTTTATTTTTTCTTTACTATATGTTATAAGCTTATAAGGCTTTGTCAATTCGATTGAAATATCATTTGTTTATCGTAGATTTGGCAATGTTCGTATTCAGACAAAACAATTTTCTAACTAAAAGCCGTTCTCAATCAATCGGAAGCACGAAAGCTGTTTTAAGCAAAATCAACAGGTGATGTTTCAATAGAAATGGCAAAGACAATAATCTATCGCTAATTTATTTTTGATTTTAGTTCCATTTACATTATTAAAAAGGAATACTTCTTGCACGTCAGGTTTTGGAAAAAACGTAATAATAACAGGAATTATTACATTACAGAAATTGTTTTTGATTTTGTATTAGGCCATAGAACCAATTACTATTGACTTTGCCATTTTGACTGAAACACGACCTGTCGATTTTGCTTAGAATTTGGCAATTCTTAAGAAGTTCACCAAAAATTTATACTTAGTTTTCAGATTCTGTATTTTGTAAGTCACTCAAAACTCCTTCAAATCACCAGAACATTTACCATTAACAGATTAATTTGAAATCCTACAAAATGCCTTCTTTGATTTTAGGATCACTCTACTGAAAAGTTTTGCCTCGAATATTTGGTGCAGATTTCATCAAAGGCACTGTTATTTATATCTATAAAGGGTGTTACAAAAAAACACGGATAGATAACATTCTCTTGCCCAAGAATTTGCATCATGTCTCCCAAGGTGTAAGCAAAATAGAACTACCACACCGATGTATAATTATCCTTACAATTAGTTGTACCAAGAAAGCAACCGTATTTTCACAGGACTCCTTTATGTGAATAATTAGTTTGTTCAAGGGAAACTGAAGGGTAAATTTGAATAAGGGTTAAAAAAACAACTTTTAAAATTAGGGCCACAAAATCGATAAAAGATGCGATTCTTGTAAATGTTATAGTCCAATACAAGCACTATTATTACAGAAGGAAGACATTGTTCAGTTGAAAAATACTAAAATAATTTTTTCTATCTGTGGACTGAAATACGTATATCAAACACAATTTTTTCCTAGTATCTCTATGTGAGTTGTTAAGTAAATCCAGAAAGTACTCTAAAAAATCATTAAATAAATGTTTATTAAAAAATATGCAATAAGACCCAAAGGTATTTATTAAATTATATATTTTGAAATTATGTCAAGATAATTGTGTTATAATTGAGGTTGTTGTACACATCCTTATCTACAATTATTTTAAGTAATTATAATACTGCTTTCCATCAGAAAGTAAATGACTTCTCAAAAATTTTAATTTCTAAAAAAAATCCACACTGATTCACTCAGTACTGGTTACGCGTGAAAATAAAGAAAAATACTTGTTTTACTTCTCGAGCATAAGCTAAAGAAGTATAGTAATCGAGTCCAATGGCCGAATTGCCACTTTCATATTTTCTTGACGTGTCATGACCTCTACAGTACGAAAAAAGGGGTCTCCCGTTTCCGTCTGTCTGTCTGTCTGTCTGTCTGTATGCATTTTTATTAGACAAGTAATCTCCGAAACTATTAGACCGATTGTTGTCACATTTTATACGTATATTAAGAATATTATGTAGATGGTTAAACGCTAACTAAAATTTGGCTAGTCAACTCCACCACCAATCGCATGACGTCGTGTCCAAAATTTATAATCAAAAGTTTTTTTAATACCATGAAATAAGATACTCCTCACACTGGTGTGTGAATCCGTGTCGGATTTTCACCCTACACATCCAGAATTTTTGGAACTTTGAAACTGCAAAACCGATTGCTCTGAAATCTTGTAAATATTTTAAGCTTATAGTACTCATGATAGATAAGCAAAATTTATTCGTTTATCCCCCCACAAAAAACTCATGAGGTTATCTCAAAATTTTGCCGAATAAATCCTATCCAAAATGTGCAAAATATGATGAGTCTATACTTGTGATTTATCACTGTATGAATTTTTTTCAATTTCTCATACAGAGTGACTCATAGAATTTAATGAGTGAGTCAATTTATTTTGTTGATTAAATCGGGAACGGTCACTCCGTTTTCCAGAAACAATGTTATCATTAGTATTACACTGCACCTATCCAAAGTGACATACGTGTTTTTGCAAAAATGTTGATGATATCATCACAAAATTTTGTAAAGTAAAAACTCATTTGAAACATACGCGTTGCACGTTTCTTTACATTTACTTTAACATTATATACTTACATATTTATTCGAACTTATAGGGGTTCTCGTTAAAAAAAATCCGCAAAATCAAATTTTATAATTTTTCAAAAATGCTGGATATGTTTCATAGTACTTCAGGAGCGAGGGAAGTTCTGTCGAAACAACTTTCGACCAATTTTTTGGTTTAAGATTTATTTAGACAAAATTTCCGTCACCCCTAAAGTAGACAAATACAACTTCTTGAAAAAATTATGTACAAGTCCGGACAATATGGAATATATTTAAAGTAGATAACCAAAGGGAAAAATGTAGTTTTATTAGTACTTACATGTTCATATTTACAACTATTTCGAAAGAATTTTACTATTAAGCGCGTACAGATAACCAGCGTCAGGTGACAGTATGCTTTTGTGTTAAAACAAAATTAAAACTGATTCATTTTGTCTTCTCCAAACAGAAGAGAGAACTAATTAATTTATTAAGCTACAAGGAAGCAAAAATATTTTTGGATAAGTAGCTGTTATAATAAATTGGTATTATTTTACTATTAAATATAGGCGGGCGCGACATTACTGTATTTTCACAGCGGTTTACATGTCACAGAATCACTCCGAAAATTACCTGGAAAATTACTCCCAAAATAAATGTTAGAAATTTAGCAAGAAAAATATTCAAAGACATTGCAAAATTTTCAACATTAATTTTGGTAGTAATTCTGTGAAGTGTAAAACACCTCTTACATTTTTTAGAAAATGGGGTCAACGCAGGTCTTGTTTTGATAAAAAATTAGAATTAAAAATCGAGGATCGAGTTCGAACTCGAACCTTCCATTTTCAAAGCCGACCCGAACGTCCCATTATATACCTAAAATACAGAAAGAATTAAACGATAAAAATAATAATAAACAAAATTAAGGTGGATTCATAAACCACAAAAGCAGGCGTACATTATTTTATAAAATTTAAATATCCATTATTGCGCAAAATGTTCAGCTGACGTCATAAAATTGTTTGTTAGTGGGATGAATACACGAATTATGTTTGGAATTTTATCCTGCATGATATTCCTAATATACCTACATAAAAATGTTTATATCAGTCGGTTGAGTAGTTTCGGAGATTATCTGTCTAATAAAAATAGACCCAGACAATAGACGACACATAGACAAATAGACGGAAACGGGTCATAAAACGTCAAGAACACATGAACGTAGCCAGTCGCCCGATGGACCCTGTTACAATGCTCGGAAAGTAAAAAATAATAGCAGAAAAGTCGTTAAAATAACTTAAAAATTTGTGGATATATTTTTTTATACATGTTAATATGTTTCGTTTTTCATTTTTTATTTTAACATTATAGGTATTTTCACAGCATTTTGAATTGGGTATCACAAATTAAAAATTTGTTGATAACAGTGTTAATTTCAGTGCCACAATATCTAATCAATATTCAATATTGTTAAAAATAATTTAACTCCGCAAGAATTCTTATTTTTGTTACTTGTAAAATAAAAGCATTTACTGCCTTGTATATAGAGAGTGATCTCACATTGTTAAGTACTATTTATTGAGCAAAGAAAAAATAATTTAAAAAGTCCTTGACCACAAATATAGAAGACATGGCCGCCAAAGTTTATGCCATTTTTTCTCACCCTGTATAATATCCATTTGCCGTCAGTGATATTTGTTTCGCATTAAGATTTTTTTAAATGTCTGCATTTTCATTGTCTCGTAATAGTATCCATTTAATCACTCCGCACTCTTCGAGAAATGAGAAAAACAATCTCTTCTGCTTGAATGGAATCACATCTCATTCATTCAGAGTGGATTTGAAAGTACAATATATTGTTTTTTTTTTTCACTAGCACTTCTTGTTTAACGTTATGTCATTCGCATCAGTTCAGTGCTGTCAAAATTACCGCATCAAACTCGGACTCCTCTGAATCAATTATTTTCAAATAGCATTGTGTATTAAAGAGATATTAACTTGAGGTCCACAAAAATTCTAATTTATGTTTATAGCAAATCAAGTTTTTTATTTTTTGTGTAAAGCGATTACAAATAATGAAAAATTATTTTCAATTATTAGTAGCAGCATTTCGCATTAGTTTAATATGCATTATTCATAAAGAAACTACCGGGTGACTACTAATATTTCATGGCAAAATTTACAACTGTGAACTGACGTAGCAGCATGGATGCCAGTAATTCAGATCTGCCAACACAAAAATTTGCTTCGATCATTAATAGTCACCCAGAATTTAAAATGAGTATTTTTGCTGCAAATAGAATCTATAATTTTTTTGGATATTGCTGTTAATTTTCCATTTACGATTTTTTTGAAGGTGGCACGATTAATATGTACCCCGCAACATCCATACCATCGCGTTCCTGTATACCAACTTGATGAAAATTTTTAAAACATCGACTAGAAGTTAAAATGTGTCAGATTTTTCATAGAACTCCAAATGCTAAACTTGTTATTAAGAACTTCAACAAAACTAGAAAATTTTACACATTTATTGCATTAATTGCTTGCAGTTCCATTTGTGCACCGAATGTGCAGTGCCTTCATTAATCCTCGGCTCTTGACGTCCGCACTTTAGCTTGCTTAATTTGATAAGAATATCCAAGATCTTCCTCAATCTCAGCGTTCAATTTTCCTTCAACAGATCGTTGTCCTGTACCCGAAATACTTTTCGTAATCTCGTTGATCAAATTTTTGACAATACTTTCCGCGAAGGCATCGATCGATTCGTCGTTTATGAAGCTTGCTACTAATTGTTTCTGTTTCTTTTGCACACAATTGTTTTCACTATTTTTTGCATTAAGTATTGTTAATATTCCTTCGAATATGTCCAGCTGTCGTGCGAAAGTCTTTTCGGCAATTTCTAACAGTTCTAAATACGTACTGTTCTGTACATTTTTATTATGGAGGCTTTCGTTTAAAACTTTCTTTAAATTTTGAACAGCTTGTGTATCTACTTTGACGGATGTTTGTAAATCAAATTCTTTCTCAACATCGGTGAAGCTCCGTTGATCGTACGAAATGACGCTGACTTCTTGGTGGGAACCGTTGCCTAAGTCGTATTTGGCACTGCGAATTTTGGAAAGGACATAGTTCTTCAGCGTTTTGATGAACTTGAATTTCCGGAGAATGGTATCGTGAAAAGAGTAATGTTTATTGTCATCCATGCTCGAACTAGACTTACTCCGCAACAGAAATCTGTCCATGAGTTTTTGTATCTGGAACTGTGTAGCAAAATGCAGTTACACGATAATTTCCAACAAAAGTTGCATATTTTTTGGACGAACACAAACTGTTATTTTGACATATACTGTCTTGATAATCAATACGACAAACATAGGTGGTGACAAAAAATAACATTACAACAAATAACAGAATAATTATTGTTATATTATTTCTTTATCATTTAAGCATGCCTTTTCTTACAGGATTCGTTTGTATAGCAGCATCAGCGCTAACACTAGCAACCTGATCATCCTGCAAAATATGTGGTTGTGCGTGTAATACGGTCTGAGTCTCACTGTCTTGATACAATACAATAACCTTCTTCAAACTGCTGCTTCTTGACCGTGCACTCATTTGCAAAAATAACTCTTGTACGCCATCATCATCTAATAAAAGAAAATTTCTGTTTCTGGCGTTGGACGCACTTCTTAATAAAGCTTTCGGCGGTTTTGGTTGCGGTAAATTAATAATCTTGTTGTTTTGACCCTGAATATCTTGATATGGAGTGTATTCTAACAGCGAAAAGAAAAGCTTTTCTTCTTCATCAGGTTTAAGATTAATTTCGCCACGATATTTTCTGCCTGAAGACGAAATAAAAAATGTATTGTCGAAACAAGTATTTGTTGATTGTACGGACTAACTACTGTCTGGGTACCCTGGTTTGCAACAAGTTTCTTGTTTCCTTTAAAGAATGACCACATTTCGTTAGTATAACTGGTTAATAAGGTTAACTGACAGTGACAGTTAATAATGTGTCATTAAAATTTACAAGTTACAAAAGCTTCGTTGATACACTTGAATTTTAACATGTTGTATTTTGAAAAAAGAGATGTATGATAGACTACGTTGATCGATGTGTTTAACATTTATCCTGCCTTTTTAGGATGAATGTATTCAAGGCAGCACTTATTATGAATTATTTTAAGAAATTCTGCAATTTTATCTAATAACGAAGTTTTTATTAGACATAGAAAAAAATGCAAATATTTACTTAAGGCTGCTGCTACGAAGACAGAAAGTAGTATCTACTTAAGATTCGTAAAAATCGGTGGTAAAATGATGCCCTGTAGTCGATACATAAGTGTATTTTGTAGTGTTTAACGCGGTTTAAAGAGAAAAGATGAAACTCTAAAGTAAAATAATTTCTTAACTTCATATTCAATTGTAGTAAAATATTTAGCCAAATTTATTTATTGTTGTTACAGAAAATGAACACTATAGAAATACAGGGTGTTATTGAAAGGTACGTACAACAAAATGGACAGTTCTTCACGAAGTCTAAGAAGTCGGAAAAACTTATTTTGTCTTATCAAAATTTTAAGGGGAAAATTAACCCTTATCCAATCTTTTTAGACGCTACTGAAGGATAAATAGGTGAAATTAATTTTTTTTAGTAAATCCTAGCAACTGTAACAATAAAACTTTTGTCAAGACTCAATGTTGCTATAGAAACGAAAAGATGATCTTTTTATCAGAGGCGCACAACGAATTTGGGCATAAGTTTTAATAATTTTTATCTCTAAAAGGAGAACACTTTTACCTGAACTTTTTTTAACTTTTAGCACCCATACTTGGAGACCAATTGCCGATTTTATTTTGTACGTACCTTTCAATAACAGGCTGTATAGTTTGTTTATGTCTCACTTAAAATCATAAAAAAACTCTCAAGAAGCTAAGTCCTGCAAGCGGTTATTTTACCATGGATTCTTATAGAGGAACGATTGGCGGTATTTGTTACCTAATTCCACTGTAACAACAGCCATAAAATTTTACTTGATAAGTAATATGTACCTGTATTGTTCACTTATGCCTTATCAACAAACTAAAAAGATGTTAACTGCTAAGGGCAAGGTTGGATGAAATGAAAAAAAGTATTCTTTGCTAAAACTAACAATAAACAGATTGCTTATGCGTAATTAAAACAATTACCTTTGAATAATTGCAAATTCCTACAAGAAATTTAATTAACAAAAAAAAAAGCAAAAAAAAAGTTGTTTTACTGAGAAATCAAAATAATTACATTAAGTACTAAATGTGCATAAACTGAGAGTCTTTTAGGGTGATGTGATAATTAAAAACCATTAAAACTTTAAAATTAATACTTCAGGAAAAAACAACAAGGTGTCTACGACTGGCTAACTAACCAACAGATAACTTACTACAGACATAGAGTTGACTAAAAGTGCTTATCTCCCAATTTTTCCATAACAAGTATCAATATCAATACTTATAAAACTCTCTTGGCATACATCTTGTAAAACTTTTATGACTTAAGCGGCTTAAGCCAAATCACCCGTAAGTCCAACTGACTATTGTAAGCTTTATGGACCCGAATCGCAAGGATTATTACTGTCCGTTGTTGGAGCTGTAAAGTTTTACTAGGTATATGTGAACTGAGTTAATTTATAGAATAGCCAGTTTGACTTATAAGGGTGCTTTGGCTTAAGGCGCTTAAGTCATAAAAATTTTACAAGATGTATGTCAACTGAGTTTTGTATAACCCCTGACACAAAAAATTAATATTGACAAAAATAATAGTGCAAGAATTGTGTTAAGTAAATAATTACTTTTTCCTGAGTAATGAATAATTGTAATGAAGTTGTTAATAATTCCAGTCGTTCAATGCAAAGAATAAAATTGCAACACTTGAATAAATATGGAGGTAAAATAAAAACCAGAATAATATCTAACTAATATTATCAGTGTGATTTAATATACTTTTACATATATCAATTTCAAAAAAATCTGTAGTAATTATATACTTATCAAATAAAAAATAAAAATATAGAATATAATTTTGTTTTGTAATGTTGACCAATTGAAAATTTTTATTATACAATAGAAAAAAAATAGGAATTCCGCTAGCTATGCTAGACAACCTTCCTTTCTTATTAACACATATACACCTAGTTTATTTTGATAAGTTCATAAGAGTAATATTTTTGCTCTAGACTAAGAATATCAATATCAATATCAAGGTAATCATTTCTGAATTACTAGGAATAAATGATATGTAAACTTAAAACAAATTTGGCTCCATTGAAAGCAGTATTGATCTTTTCCTGCTAAATAATACACCTGCATAAAATAAACTAATTTAAAACTAACGGTTGATAAAATCTGTAGTTCCGGTAACAACAGATTACACTCTTTCGATGTGTTCTGTGCACTCATTCGTTGTTTAATTTCAGTATTTTTCTTTATAAAATGAGCCATAATAACGTGCTATGTTTAATTAGTTACGGCTTTTAATAATTGCGAAATAAAAACAGACATGGCTTGTACAGCAAATGTAAGTAATTTCGATTAATAAAACAATTGTGAAGCAAACTAAGAGTGAAAGTTTTCAGATTATAAAAAAAACAATAATAACGTGTAGTCGATGTAGAACCGATTATAGTAGTATCTAAATTTTATAGATAACACACATAAACTAAACTTGTTACTCTTCTGTTAATAAAATGTGTGTGTTCATGTGCTGTTTTATTCATTAAATGTTACAAAATATATGAAATAAGTCATTTATTGAATTAAATTATCTAATATAATATAAAAAATTAGTAAACCACAACTGGTATTTCCTACATAGATTTTTATTTATGTTACTTTTTATGTTATTTTAGACTATATAGGAATAGCACTTCTGATGTGAACATTCTTGAACAATTCTTTTTTTTTACTAAAACCTTTCTAGAGTGAAAGAAGAACGTATGTGTCTATGGCAACCAAGTTTCTAGGTGCTACCCACAACCCCAATTTTTTGTTTAAATCAGTTACGTATTCTGCGACACCGAATGTGAAAGTATGTGCAATAGGAAACAAAGATGTGCCATTGTTTTTGTAAATGGAGCTCAAAAATCAAGGTTAAAATAAATTGTTTTTTGTTGTCAACGGTGATACGTAACAGGAAAAAGTAGTAAAACTGAAAAACATAAAATAAAAACCTGATAATTTCAGGGTTAAATGCAACCTCATTTAAATAAGACAACAAATAATAAGCCTCAACTTTAGTGCTGGTAACATTTTGGTGCAGTTTATTTTATTTTTATAATTTTAACAACAACCAAAATTTTATATTTTAATAAGACAATGTAGAAAAAACTTAACTTTTAAGTTTTGTTATTCATGTCAAGAGCATTTAAACGAGATGTCATAAAATCTCTGCGTAGCGACTTTTAGTGTGTGCAAAAACTTAAACCGTTACAGAAATATTTTCCTGTGAAATGCAAAAACATGTATATGGAAAACGAAAAATTCGAATACGATTTTTTAAATTTTAAACTGCCTTGCATATGTTATAATACGGTGTCTCTGTTTTGTACCATTTGTAGCCTACATTTTATGATTCACTTGATATTAAAAACATGTGTTGTATAAAGTTTCCGGTTTTTATAGTTAATGGAGAGCGTATTTCCTGAACTGCAGACATGCCACATTGTATGGGTAGGTATGGTGTATTTTTTAACTGTATATAAAACATGGGTGTTCCTTCATCCGTGTCACCACATACGCATCACATGCAACAAGCCTGCCAAGACAATATTATTACAATAAACATTTCAAAATTTCTAACAATAAATTCGAATCATAAACAGGCATAAAAATTTAAGCACCACCAGCTCGATAAGCGACCCAAACAACAAAGTAAACTAATGACTGATAAATAAGCATTTACAGTGTTTTTGAGTACCCGTATTATTATTTATGGTAGAAAATTGGTTATCTTTTAAAAACAGTAATTTTCGTTGGGTGAAATTCAGCTAACCTTGTGCTTCTTAGGAGCGGAAAACTTGCCCATGGACGCAAAATCCGTGAAAATCCATGTGACAGGAAATCATCACACCACTAATTTCAAACTCACTGCAAATATTCCAGTGTTCACATATTTAGAACCACAAAAAAACATTTTCGTTTATAATAATAAAAATGCATGCTTTATGGAACCGACACTTTCAAACACTGTGGAAACGCTGTTGAAACAAGTGGTGGAAGCGCGCTCAACTCATTTAGAGATCCGCTAAGCACCCATGCGAGACAATACTTGGCTTGGAACGTACATTTTTGCTAGGGAAATCACAGTTTTTAGTATTTTTCTAGATACTTGACGTAGATTTAGATAAAATTCTAGATTAATTAATCTGATTCAAACTGATCCTTATGTGTGTAGATGTTACAGGGACATGTTTATAATTAAGATTTATAAATCAATTGTAAAGGTTCTTTTTATGGTAATCCTAAATCTTGATACGAATCTTACCCACTGACCGAATTTATTCCACTAGGGCCACTAGTGTCAGTAACCTGAGTAATAATAATTTGTTTCAAATACTATAGGGACACTCATTTACAAAATCCGTGTGAAATGTAAATAAACTAGTAATTTAAGAATGATAAGAAAAACAAACACTATTTTTTCGTATTCGTACAAATGAACCAACATTTAATTATCGCCGCGAAAAATAACCTCAAGTGAATTATTTATTGTAACAAATAAATCACATTAATTGTTGCTAAAATTTGCTCAGTACACATTAAATTTGTTGAAATTTCGAGTCGTGGTAAAGGACATCTAAAACACCTACGTCTTAATTATTTTGATACCTAGTGTTTGTAAACTGTAAATCTGCAGCATCAGAATTGTGCTGAATTTTAACCAAAACTAACATTGCTTCGATTGTAGTTATTAAAATAAGACAGTAAATCCAAACAAAAAATTTGTTATACGATTAATATTACTAAT